CTCTCTCTCTCTCTCTCTCTCTCTCTCTCTCTCTCTCTCTCTCTCTCTCTCTTAACTCTTTCTCTTCTCTCTCTCCCCCCTTCTCTTTATCTATCTATTTATCTATCTCTCTGTCAGTTTCTCTGTCTCTTTCTGTCTCTCTCTCTCTCTCTCTCATTTCTTCTCTAATTTACTCTGCCTCCCCCTCTGTTGGAACGACAAAAATTTTTGATCGAGCTGCTGTTTTTTGCGGGTGACTTTTTGGAGTTGCGAGAAAAAAGAAAAAAATACGCAAAAGAAACAATTTTTCCTCAAAAAATACTCCAATCCACCGACATCCCGATCTTGTTATCGTGAGTTTTTTGACTATACACGCGTGTACACGCAAAAGGAATCGCGAGTTTTTCTCACCATCACCCATTTCTGATAGATACCGTAGTAATACGACGACACCCTTTCTCTCTCTCTCTCTCTCTACTCTACTCTCTCTCTTTCTCTCGTTTGACACATCCTAGAAACCGTCCACCTTATTCTTTCTTATGGTTTCTCCCTCCTAGCTTTCTTTTCGTAGGCATTTTATCATAGGTCTTCCCCTTTGATGTCTCGTATCGGGGAGGAAAGGCACCGACCCGAAATCAGCATTATCACTCGATCGATTATTGCCACGATTTTGCCAGGCGAGTACACGATTACGTAATAATTTCTCGGGAGAGACACGAGGGAGAGAGCTTCCGCGCGCTCTCCCCGACACGAGACAGGTGAACATGAGCCTTTAGTTATTTCATATTTGGAGTAGTGATTGCGCATGCCAAAAAAAAGATATTCTCACGTCTCCCGCCTCTCTGCGACCAACTGCAACCGAGGGCCAAGCGATCATTTTTTTGGTCTATATAACGATCGATCGATTGGAGTCATGAATCTTGTCCAACGACATTCGTTAGCAGTGCGAGATAAATAAGCGGTGCGACTGCCATCGAGCGCATGAGGCCGGAACGAAAGGACGAATCGAGCGAATGCGCGCGTGTCTGGTCCGGGAAGAGATATGGACAGATGTCTCTCTGTCCATACATGTTCGTTCTTTTGGTTTTTTTCTCTTTTTTTTTTTGGATCGTAAAATCGAAAATAGCCATTATAGAGAGGGTCAATTTTAACGTTGATGATAATCAGTAGTGTGCTACCCATTGATATGCCTTAAAGATTAATTGAATTATTCTGTAATACTACTCAATGTACGTGCGAAGTTGACACGAATTTTTACGAGTTTTTTTTTCCCACTTTTTTGGCGACTTTTGGGGCGCAGCTGAAAAAAGTGAGTATCCCTTAGCTCATCTCGAGTTGTGCCATGACATTTTTTCTCTACCGTATACTATCTTTGTTTCACTCTTTCTTTCCGTCTCATTTTTGCATATATGTATATATACATATATTCATCTTTTTTTTTCCTTTTGTTTTTACTGTCTGTCGAGAGTCCGATCTCGAAGTGCCGTCCTAAAGTTATTTTGTTCTTTTGCTGCAGCCCAGCGTGAACATTATAATGTAATCTTAAGAGACATGTTACATTACATTAACGCTGCGACTGCGCGCTCGCCACCCTTGTTTTTTGCGCTACATAGCGAAGTTGTAAGTGTGATTTTGATCTCATCATTGACTGTGTACACGTAACGAGAGCTAGAGCAGAGCGAGCACGCGATCCACCAATCGCTTCTCATCAGTCGCGCTACGACGACGATTCAGTTCTGCGTCGGAATTTTTCTGTATGTACTTTGGTTGCGGCGCAACTTTCGTTTTTTGCGAGCCCTCCATCGTAGAGCTGTATTGTTACTGTTTACATATCGTGCCGGAAGTAGGTATTAGGCAGCGCTAATTCTCTTTATACGAATTTGATTTTCCCCACAATTTTATGTTTTCATTTCTCTCTCGCAACGTGCCGATTACGTTTCCCAGCGACGACGAATACTGGACCGTCCATGAGACAATCTCGATGCATCTCTCACATCTCGTCTTACGGACTATGATGCGGAAATCGTCGTCGGTCGTCGGGAAGTCGCGACTTCCCAACTTCAACGGTCGCCCGTGGTTGTAAATAAACAACGTTAAGCAGGGCGACGCGCGTATTTACCACTGCCGAAACGCGAGATTCGCGGCTGTAACTCCCCGTAACTTTCATCCCCCCCCCCCCCC